GGGCGAGGAGAGAGCGAGCGGGCCTTGCGCGAGCTGGCATGGCGGCCTCAGGCGCCGGCCTCCGCGGGCCACCGGCGCGGCACGCCACACCGGACCTTCGAGGGCGCTCACGCGCGGCCTTGCGCGGGCAGCTTGCGCGCCCGCGTCGGTGCAGACGACACCCGTTGTCTGCGTCGCCCGGGCGGCGACATCCGAACCCTGCCCACGGCGACCACTGATTCTCCTTACGGTCGGACTCGATTGGACAGGGCACGCGAGAGGGCACAAAAGACCCTTCCGAGGGCCACATTGCCACAGGAATGCAGGAAGCATGGATCGCGAGACACAGGATACAGGGGCACCCTTGATTTGGCAGGGTCGACCTACTAATCAGGGCCGACTGTAATCGATAGAGGGCACGGGGTAGGGTTCGGAGTTCGCAGCGTGCTCGCCGGATTCTGAACCCTGCCCCCGCCGCCCACATCGAACTACCCGAGTCGTTGATCGGCGGAGGGAGGGTTCGACTCTCGCCCGCGGGCAAAGCGGCGTAAGGAGACTGTCATGTAACTGTTTGAAGCCCGTTTTTACATGTCTAAAACAGTTTTGAAACATTTTCTAGACATCTGGAAACTATTCGGCAACATGCTTCCTCTCCGCTGATCGTCCTCCACAAGGTTAGAGGCAACTCCTGGGGGGCCTTCGTCAGAAAGCGTAATGGTAATGAGCGCTGTTAGTGTGAGTGCAGGAATGCTGTTAAACAACAAATGCTGGGGCCAACAACGACAAACGTTTGAGGCCGAACATCGCCAGTTCCGTGTCTTTCAAAATCACGAAGATCACAGCAGGCAGCAAAATGAAACGATGGCAGGGGATGACAATACCGAAGGACGATAAATATAAATCTCTCGCCGCCACGAGCGCTGAATCCCCACCCCTCTGAGAGAGGACGTGGGAAGGGGTCTCCCTTTACGGGGGGGCTGAGGACACTAAGAGCATGAAGCACAATGGACAGAGTGGTTAAAGTAGGCGAAATCGCGTCCATGTGGGCCCGCTCAATAATCAAACAAAAAAGGCCCAAACCCAGGCCCGAACGAAAACACAGTCTTTATACTAGCCCCGGCAAGCCCCAAATCGGCCCGGCGACGATGTCTGCTAAGGAAGACGCAGCGCGCGACGACACCGGAGAGGCTGGCCCAGAACTGAACAGAACACATGCATCGGACTATCCTTGGGGAGTCTCCGTTTCCGCCGACGGGGGAAACATTAAGAGCAGCCCGAAGGCCAGTGAAACGAAAGCGCTGGCATGGCCCACTGGTGGCGGCCGCGGGCCCCCCGCCCCCACGGCCGAGTCGCAGACCAGGAAACACCACAGGCTGGCGCGCGAACGAAAAACGTTCTCCGTCCTCCTCCTCCTCCTCCTCATATTCCTCCTCCTATTCCTCCTCCTCCTCCTCTTCCTCCTCTTCCTCCTCCTCATCCTCCTCCTCATCCTCCTCCGCCTCCTCCTCCTCCTCCTCCTCCTCCCCCTCCTCCTCCTCCTTCTCCTCCTCCTCCTCCTCCCCCTCCTCCTCCTCCTGCTCTTTCTCCTCCTCTGCGCCCGGGACGGGCCGCCCAGACCGACAGTTGAAGCACGAGGGCACGCATGGCCCAGCACAAGGGAAGCACGAACCCTGGCGCGGCATGGGGAACGCCCCGCTCGGGCCAAGAGGGGCAAGCCTGGGACGCGCCCACCTGAGGAGGACCTGGGGCCATTGGCACGGAACGGCCCAACTAGACGCGAAGCAAAGGCCCCGCAAACAACCGGCCAAGTACCGACCACAACACTCTCGCGGCCCCGAAAACCATCGCACGAGCCATCCATCCAGACCCCACCAAGCCATCGTCCGGCAGCGCATCAACGCTCCACGTCAATCGCAAGAAGCGATCGACCAAGACCGACCGTTGAGAACGACGGCCAGAAAAAGACTGCAGCACTTCACCACGAACAACGCACATGCTTATCCAGACAGGACGCACGTCACACCACGCGAACATCTCCTCTGAATATCGCTACATCCACGGGCGAAACCAGCGCCAAGCGACTAAAAAACGCATTCGGGCACTACCCGTTCGGGTCTTGGACCCGTTCGCCCACGAATCATGGGGTAGCTCCAAGGGGCATGGAGCGCGGGGCATACCCTGTGGGGCATGCCTGGGGCATGCCTGCCTCATGGTGGATGGGGCCTGGGGCACGTCCCGCAAGACATGGGATATGGAGCATGGTCCCGGGACATGCCCACCATGGCGTGGGTGCTCCATGCCCCGTGGGGCACGAGGCGAGGGGCATGGGGCCTTGAGCTGATGATGACGATGATGCTGATGATGCTGATGGTGATGCTGATGTTGTTGATGATGATGATGATGATGATGATGATGATGATGATGATGATGATGATGATGATGATGATGATGGTAATGATGATGAAGACGATGATGAATACGATGATGATGATGATGATGATGATGACGATGACGATGACGA